GGCAATCCCCCTCTTAGGCATATACCCAAAGGATCCACATCCATGCAACAAAGACATCTGTTCAGCTATGTTCACAGCAGCACTATTTGTAATAGCAAGAACCTGGAAGCAACCTAGATGCCCCTCAATTGAAGAATGGTTAATGAAGATGTGGCACATTTACACAATGGAATACTACTCTGCAGAAAATAATAATGGTATCTTGAAATTCGCAGGCAAGTGGATGGCACTTGAAGAAACCATCCTGAATGAGGTAACCCAGACACAAAAAGAGGAACACAGTATGTACTCACTCATATATGGATTTTAGACCAAGAGCAAAGGATCACCAGCCTATAATTCACACTACCAGAGGAACTAGGATACAAGATGTGTTCTAAGAGATTCATATAAAGTCCCTCACAGAATTGGTAAGGGACAAGTCCCCCAGAGCACAGAGGAAGTGGGGGGGGGCAGCAAATGGAGAGAGAAGTAGGAGAAAACGAGGAGGAGGAAAGGAAAACATGTGCGACCAGGAAGATTGAGCCCGATTAGGAATAGAAGACAGGAGAGAGAGAGAGAGAGAGAGAGAGAGAGAGAGAGAGAGAGAGAGAGAGAGAGAGAGAGAGAGAACATAAAAGAGGGCGCCAATATTGGTTTGAAGATAAAATTGAACACAAAGAAAGGTCTAGAGAACTAGAAGACTGCTGACAAATAACAGTTTGAGCTTCCATGGAAAGGCTACCATAAATGCCCTTCCCGGAGAGTGAGATCAACAACTAACTTATCCATGGAGCCCTCAACTAATGTCTGTTGGAAACAGGAGCAAACACCTATATATAAACACTGAGTCGAAGTAGAACCCAGATGCAGATGGAGAGGACAAGGCCAGGCGGCAGAAACACATAGAGACAGCTTACCTGAACAAGGAGGAGCTAACGGCCCCCAGACTGATAGCTGGGAAGCCAGCATGGAACTGACTCAGGCCCCCCCTGAATATGGGTCTCAGCCAGAAGGACTGAGCAGTCTAAGGGACCTCAGACAATGGATCCAGGATGTATCCCTGGTACACAAAAGGACTTTGCGAACACATCCCCCATGGAGGAATAACTGCCTTAATCTAGAGACAGGAGAGATGCCCTAGTCCCTACTTCACATGACCTACATGACCCCAACTGGATGGCATTCCCCTATATATGGAATTGGGGTGGGGGGATGGGAGGGGAGGGTGGTTAGAGTTCAGGTGAGAGGGCAGAGAGGGTAAAAGGGAGGAAAGGATGGAAAGAAGGAAGGAGGGAAGGAGGGAGGGAGGGAGGGAGAGGGAATTGGGATCGACATGTAAAATAATAAATTAAATTAAAAAAAATACTTTGACTCCAAAATTTAAGTTCAAGGACAAGTTACTGGGGAAAAGGATTTCTATTTTTCTGTCCACAGAAAATGAAAAGCTGTGGATTCCTTCCAGACTAATGTGGTTTGATCAAGCCAGACTGCCTGAAACAGAGTACCAGGTGATTCTACATTCAAAACACCTGGACCAAGCAGCCTTACAGTCTACAGCCAGGATTTCTGCATCTTCTTCGAATCCCCCATGACAGTGCCCCTTACCAGCAGGAAGTAGTTTGGAAAGAACGACGCCCAAATTCCCAAATATTGTCTATAAATGTTTGTTTTCATTTAAATGGACTTGGTTATGTAATATATATATATTAACTTACAAATGAACAGCAAACCGAATTCCTATTCCATACCCCAAACATTGACATTTGGATTTTTTGCTTTATTATTTCTATAATATCTGTTTTAAAAGTGAAGTTAAACTTCTTTCTTCTCAAAAAAAAAAAAAAAAAAAAAACCAAAACAAAACAAAACAAAAAATCCCGGCTCTGTACTGGGTGAAGAAAAGCTCCGAGGAGGTGATGTTGTGTCTCAGTCACAGGGGAGAATCCTAGGTCTCTAACTGACCTGGGGGTCTGCTTAGCAGATTTGCCCTCTCTGAGGTCCTTCTGCACAGTACAATTGCACTGTGGTTGCTTCTCATTGGTGACATCCCCAGAAACACAACCTAAGTGATGTCACTTAATTAGAATAACATCCCTTGTTTTCTTTCTGGTGTTCAGTTACCCAGTCAACCATTATCTGAAAATAGCAACTGGAAGACCCAGAAGTAAATAGCTCTTAGGTTTTAAACTGTTCAAAATTTAAAGTAGTTTAAGGGAACCTGCTCCATCTGCTCAAGATATTATCCATCCCTTTTGTTCAATGTAACCATGCTGCATATGCTGCCTACCCATTAGTCACACATGAGATGGCTCATTTATTGTGTTGATCACTGATGTCATAGTAAGGTATTCAAGTAGCTCTTAGTTTATAATGAATCCTGAAATTCTTGGGTAGAGATGCTGGCAATTTGGATATGTCAAAAAGAAGCCAAACAGTGTTCTCTTTCATTGAAGAGAGCAATGTTCATAGAAAGGAAGAAAAAAGTGTCACATGTTCATGCTGCTAAGTTCTGTAGAATCATCCAGCCATGAAACTGTAAAGGGGAAAAAAGAAATCCATGCTAGTTTTGAGGCAAAAGCTACGTCCACAGTGTATGTTGAGTGCTCAGTTAACCTGAAAGAAGCTGTAAGTATACAGTTTGGTTCATTTCTGAAGTTTCACCCATCCACTGGGGTACTAGGACATATGGTTATTGAAGATGTGAAGACTGACCTTGGGGTCACACAGTCCATGGTCCTGCTTCCACGGGATCTAAAGCTGGGGCCCATGGTTCTGCTTCATCTACCAGTACTCCCCACTTGACTTTCTGAGACATTTCCAAGTCAGCTGCCCCATCCCATTTCCTTTATCACTCAGGCACCACCCCTTTAATGCTACATTACTTTTCTCTGATAGAGTCTCATAAGGGAGAGTGATCAAGGTGTGGGTTGAATCTATCAAGCTGACCTGGAGCCATAGAGCCCACACTGGTAATGGCGATATTGTTCTGCCTTGCTGTATTGGATAGAGTTATCGATAATTTGGATGTTGCTTAAAAACAGCACTGACTGTGGTAGATGGCTCGGTTAGATTTTCTGTCTCCATAAATCAAATTAGCTGGAAAAAGAAAAACATCTCCGCTTACTTTATGTCATGTAAATAGAAACTGAGGTGAAAATTATACAGCTGTATGGTATTTTAAACCACACTTCATTTAATAATTATTTTATGTAGCTATTTTAGTTTTGCAAAAGCATTAGAAAGAAGTTTTAAAATAATTGGATTGCCAATTTCAGTTGGTTATCTACTCTAAGAAGTTAATACCTTAATGGTAAACCTGTTTAACACTCAATTGTTCTATTTAAAACAGAAAATAACTCTTCTATTATGTGGCTAGTGGTAAGTATTCCATGCTGTGTTTTCTTGGTATGACAGTCAGCTGGGCACACGTAGCATAGAATAGACTACAGTGTGCTGGGTTCAAGATATTTCCTTTGGATCACTCCATTTGTATTTAGATTATTTCAGCACCCAGAGACATTTTATATAAATAGTTTCATATTTATGTCTTTGAGATTATGTTTTGAGCATGGCTCTTCAAAATTACACAAATCTGTTCTGCTTATTATTTTCATTTTCAGAGCATTTGGGCAAATGTGTATTTAATTCCTGATTATTGAAGATCTGATAAATACTTGCAGAAAGTTGGTGAGTTCAATACAATTCCCCTCTTTGGCTACTTCATCTTATCAGAGAATTAAAATTAGTGATTATTTCTATAGCAGAATTCATTGAATGCAGGTGGAAAGAATGGTAAAGACAAAGCAATATGCTTATTAGGCAAACTGCTAATAAGCTTCTCTTAATAAAAATGAAGAGAGCTGGTGGGAATAGCTTTAGAAGAAAGCATCATTTAGCACTCACAGGCATCTAGTCTTTGTGTTTATAACCACAATGTAGAAAGGTCCCAAGCTGAGCCCTGCCTCCAGAACTCTTTGGAGGGATAAGGTGAGGCAATACAACTGGAAAATAGATCTCTCCATTGGCACCTTCACCACAGACAACATCATTACCATCAGGAGTCATGTGCAGAGACAGTCAGGCCATTCAAACCAGGTTGCTGATTTTATAGACTATGTCTAAAATCAGTATCTTTCTAGCTGTCTAATTTTTACCCTGGCAAGTCTTTGCTATATGTAACAGCCTAAATGTAGCACGTAAATTATGACCTGTTTCCCCCAGCTCAGCAAAGTCTTTTCATATCAGATTATAGGGGACAGGTCTGTGCAGAAGAGTGATATGTTTTCAAATTCGAGCTGGATTATTTTAAGCAAGTGTCCATGAGAAAATTACATAATGCCCCATAGAAGCAAGATTTAGAAAAGACACTTATCTAATATGCTTATTTTGGAAATAAAACCAGATTTGATAGATAGATGAATAGAGAGGCTAGTTAGCTAGCTAGCTAGACAGACACACAGAGAGATACAGCCAGGTACCAAATAAGCACACAAGCAATGTTTCTGACGCTGTGTTGCTGTACAGGTATCTATAGACACATGTATTCTAAGCTCAAGTATTATACCTGTAGCTGAGGTTCATTGGAAACAAAGCTAAGTTCCATATTCTCTCCCCTCCCTCTTTTATTCTCTCTACCACTCTGATTCCATCCAGTTCTCATTCTGGGCCCTCCACTAATGCTTCAAAAAATACCTCCTCTTCACTGCAATGATTATACCGTACTTCAAGCACATATTAGTGTTTGTGTCACTTACAATGAGTCCTATGAAGGAAAGGTGAGATTTTACATTTGAATTGTAAATCAGTCCTTACCACAGTGGCTGGCACATAGCACAGACTTCATAAATAATTGCCAGGGTAGGGAAGAGTTATGGATAAAGAGAAACAGGGGAAGAATGAGGAGGAGGAGGAACAGCAGGAGAATGAGGGAAGGAAGTGTATGCAGGGGAAGGAGGAACAACTTATTACAGTTGAGTGCTGTGTATTTCATTGTAAGAGCCATTATATTTTTCTCTTACCCTTCCAGGGAGATGGCCCGTTGGAGAGTCACTGAAGGTTGACGAGTTGTAGTGCTGTGCTGGGAATGACTATAAGAAAAAAAGAAAAACAAAATAAAAATGGGACATTTATGTAAAATGCCACTGTATAGTTTAATAAATCTTACTGTCAAGAAAATAATAGAAATTAAATTGCTAGTGATAAGCAGAATCATATACCAGAAAAAGGAACCCTGTTTTAGACAAAGGGTTAGTGTTCCCTTGTAATTTGGGTTCAACATGAATTATTCTGTAGTAAACTTTAAATGATTCCTAGATGTGACACAGAGCATAAGACATCAATTTGATTATGATGTCATGTGGTTTTATATTATCCGAGAATTTTATAAATGCCAGAGTCAGTGGACATCTATAGTGAAACAGTATTTACCTGACATGACAGGGTGATTGCACACATAAACTCAAAATGACTATGACTACATGCACAAGACATACATCAGATCAGGCCAGGGGAAATTCTAACATGGGTGGGGGAGGGTCTCATGAAGTTCCACTCCTAGCTGAGAAGCTATTGACAATGGCTAATAGGTAAGGGTGTGTCATTTTCTTCAGGAATGAGAGGCTAGTCATGCCTGGCCCTACATCCATGCATATCTAGGTAGCACTAACTGGATTCACGGGATTTAAAAAATAAAGCAAGGTACCTCTCAAGCTTCAGAATTTCTTTTAAAACAAATCTTTGTACAAAGACTAATCTACAAATTGGAATACTTTATTAATTCAACACTTATTTGTAAATTAATCTGTAATGATTTAGGTATTTTATTAAATCTTGAAAAATTGGATTTCCCGTGACTATCAGTCTTGGAATTTGACAGGATTCATTATTTTGCTTTGGTTTCATATAGCAAAACTGATTTTGTATATAAGTAGTTGAAATCAACTTAATATCTAACATCAATGATCGTTTATATCAGCAAATAGCTTTTAAACATATTTTATATGCTTATGTCATTTGTTTTTACCAAAACAAATGTGAGCTGTGAGCTGTTTAGTAGATTTAAAAATTGAGAACCAAAGAGATTTAGAGCTCGCTCAAAGTCAGCTAATCAACACCTGAGCCTGAATTGCCATCTAGATTGACTGAAGAGCCACCTCAACTAGAGATATGGAGAATATTTATTCTGAGTAAGATATAATAATAATCCAATAGCAAACTATATCTGAAAGAATGCAGTCTTTTAGTAATGTGTGAACTTTTCATTCTTACCAACTCCTTACACTTCCATATGTATTTTACATAATTTTATACATGCATACACACACACACAAAACTCCCCTTCATAATTAATTAAAGCATTTTTAAATTTTTTTTATTTTACATGTCAATCCCAGTTCCCTCTCCCTCCATCCCTCTTACCCTCTCTTCCCCCTCTCATGAACCCTGACCACCCTCCCCTCCCACCCCCCACCCCCTTTCCACATGTAGGGCTATGCTATCCAGGTGGGGTCATGTAAATCTGACAAGTCATTTGAAGTAGGGACTAGGACTTCTCTCCTGTCTCTAGGTTAAGGTAGTGTCCCTCCATGGGGGATGTGTCCACAAGGTCCTTTTGTGCACCAGGAATACATCCTGGTTCCACTGTCTGAGGTCCCTTAGACTGCTGTTGGAAACAGAAGCAAACACCCATAGCTAATTGAAGCATTTTGACAATATCTATTATTTTTTGTTCAATATAATATTACTTCCTCTTCATGCAGTTTATTTAGTCATCCATATAGTTGGATCATTAGAATATTCCTTTTATTTTAATATTATATATAGTACTGCAATGACCATGCTGCTAATGGTTACTTTTTTCTCTTATTTTATGATTTACTTTAGATGAATTACTTCAAACACAGTTAGCAGGTTCTTCATTTATATTATCATGTACTCTTCAGAGAATATATATTGTTTCTCTCTCTCTCTAGATAGATAGATAGACAGATAAATACATACACCACACACACATATGTTTACCGATTCCATTTAGTGTTTGTCATATATGCATGTTTTCAGGATGACCTTTAGGGATTGAACAACCTATTAGAGGACTATCCCTGGATGTATCTATATAAGCTTTTCCTCAATCTTAGAACCACTGACTTCATAATAAAAATAATTTATATAGCTATGTATAATGTGTGTGTGTATGTATTGTGAATGTGTGTGTGAGAGAGCAGAGAGCAGAGAGAGAGAGAGAGAGAGAGAGAGAGAGAGAGAGAGAGAGAGAGAGAATATGCAGAGATCAGGGAATGACCTGAGTGAGCTGGTGCTGGCTGTCTCCTTCCACCATGTGGCTTCTGAGAGGTTGAATTCTAATTGTTTAGCTTGACAGCAACCACCTTTTTCCACTAAGCCTTCTTGTCAGCCTTCTGGATTCACTAGTTTTAGCACCCATGAAGACTTAACAGTTGCAAAGTGACACTCACAGTTACTATATGCATCTCCTAATTTATAAGAATGACTATTTTTTATTATGTGTTTATTTGTAATTTTGTTTCTCTAGTGCCAATGGTATAATTCTTTATAATTTATCTTCTGGTTGATTAGAAAATACCAATAGTCTTGGGTAAAGAACAATATAGCTCACTAATCATGATTAATGGATAACTGGGATTCTCTGGTAATTTTGCCATTATTTGCCCAGCCTTAAAACAAAGAAATACTCAGTATTTCCACTCTGTGCCACTTCTGCATAACCACTATTCTATCCTGCACCCACACGCTAATGATATATTTACAGCTTTAGTGACACAGCATGCAATAAGATAGGTAAGTGCCCAGAGATATGGACTCCTTTGCCATTGCACATGCAATGTCAGTCAGTTCTTGGGTGAACAAAATTGGAAGCAAACAGATCCTTTTACATCATATAATGGTCCATTAACTCTAAAAAGACAAATATAGTGAGTTATCAGATAGTCAAGACCTCTAGACGGGAGTTAAATTTTGCTGTTTACAGACAGTACATGTGTGTGTGTGTGTGTGTGTGTGTGTGTGTGTGTGTGTGTGTGTTTGTGTGTGTGTGAGAGAGAGAGAGAGAGACTTTGTGTGTGTGTTCTTGTACAGTGTGTGTAGGGGCACTTGTATAAGCTGATGCTGCTTGGCAAAGATGATTAGCATTTATAAGACATAGGGAACCTTCCTCTTAGGACCAAGTAGATACCCTGCTGCCCATGACTGACTGCACATGGTGGTTAATTCTACAACTAAGAAATTATAGGTAACTGTACTCTGGCCTTTTCACCTTCTCAGGTAATGGGGTTACCTGAAAAATGAAAGATGGAGACTGAGAACTGCAGGAGAAGAAAACCCCAGGCAAAAAAATATGTAAAACTTACAGTTAGAGCTTTTAGGAGGTAGAATGAGTTTCATTTTTAAAATGTGTGTATAGATTGCTGCCACCTTCCTCATGATTGGAGGACTCCTGTCCCTTCAGCACAGGTAACATAGTACTCAACATAGCCCATGCCAGGCCTCCTGTCCCTTCAGCTTAGGTAACATAGTACTCACATTGGCACTTTTCCACTCAGCCACAACAGCACTGAAGTGAAATATCTCAATGGCTGTTGACAGGTCTGTTCACTAGGTTTTACATGCTTCCTGAGCAGGGCGCTGCATTTGCCATCTACTTAGTCTCATCCCAGGCTCGACACAGAAGACATACATCAATGTGTGTTTAAGGGATGAACACTATAAGTTCAACTTACTTTAAAAAAAACCCCACACTCTATCTTTTTAAAACTTGTAAAGACCTTGAGCATCAGGTATCCTATCTTCTGGCTGGATGACGGCAAAAATGGAAGCCAGATTGACTGACTACAAAGGCTTGCCCTGTATTTTACAGAAAGAAACACTCAGAACTGTGGGGCCAGTCCTCACTAAGGCTCTGAAACATTATGATAGGAAGTGCCCAAAACATTTCTGTGTAATATTAATGAAATAGTAACAATAATCTTACTTAATTGATTTGCAATTTTCCATCCATCATTACAATACCTTCTGATATATATTCAGTATTGTTGATTTTTTCACTTACATTTCTAAAGAACTTTCACTGTCATAGTTAACTGTATATATTTGATATCTCAATGTTTTTTCTCAGAGTTTGCTTTTCTCTGTGTTTGCATACCTGTATTAAGTCACCAAATACCTTAAAAAGAATCCAGTAGTATTTCAGATGAACATAATGAAAACATAATCCTTTTATTATGCAAAACTGACAAGCATTTTCCTGAACAACTATTTTTATGTTTGGATTACGTTAAACAATTGTTACTTGGGTAGTTATTAAATGCCAGTTATGCATTAGGTGCTTGGGATGGATTTTAAATCCTCAATATTACAGGTTCAACAAATATCAGATAATAAAATAGAAGATGGTCAAATAATCTATTTGTTCATGTCCACAAAGCTAACATATCTCAATGAATTTCACAGAGCCTAAGCTTTATTTAAGAAGAGTAAGTTACTGAAAGTAACAATAGGGGAAAAAAGGTGTTCTGAGAACTGAGAAAAACTAGGTTTAAGGTCATTCAAGGTCACTTTGTTATATAAAATTAAATAAAAAAATTATATATATATAAAAAGGTCATTCAAGGTCAAAAGCAGGTTCTCTGCTCTGGGAAGCTTGAGCATTCTGGTTTGACAGAGAGATAGGAAAGGAAGGTGATGGAGCAGATCAAGAGGACAATGGCTTGACAAATGTTCTCGACTTTACTCCGTGGTTGGTAAGTGGGCAAGGTCAAGGTGGTAATATTTATAATTCAGAAAGTTGTATGTGTACAATGGAAGCAAACTGCAATCTGAGAAAATAATAGGATAACACGATGGAGAAAATAAATACTCAAATATGTAGTGGGTATTAAGAAAAGTGAATGCATGTATTTAACACAATGGAGGGAGTTATATATAAGTAATTTTAAACATTTTAAAATAAATTTAGGTTTTGATAGAAAAATATTTGCATGGTTTTATGTACAATGTGTTGTTTTGATTAATATATACTAACTATCAAGTCATGGTGATTAGCATAACTCTCACT